TATCAAGGAGCAAACCACAGCCTGTAATTTCAGCATATTCTCTGTAATTAAGGTCGTGTTCCAGATCTCCTTTTATTTTGCACTATTCAAAGGCACATATCTTTCTGAAATGAAAGCTTTCCATTTGAAATCAGCGTCCTTGATTTCAGCTGCAACATGGACTTTTTTTCAGAAAGTTTGCATGAAATATTTCCTTCTTTTTAAAAATTCAGAGTGTAAAACCAGCAAGAGGCATAGGTTTCACTTCAGTGTACCAATCTCAAGTGCTGGGAAACTTTAGTTTTTGCAGTCACAGTCAAAATTCAAATATATTCTGCCAAAGAGAGTGGCTCTGCTTTGATGGAATATGAAAAACCTTTCAAGACACAGCTATATTTTCATTTTGTTCTTTTTGAGTTTGATTTGATTTGAATCAAATTTTGACTGAAACACACAGCAGCCTAAACGGTCATCTTCCTCTGCACTCTATGTTACTGTCTCTTCTGGAGCAATTCTGCAGCTAACCATACTTCTGATAAAACCACTTCACTTTGTAGACACCTTCAGTGGTGGGTTCTAAAGTAAAGCAAGACTGTGCAGTTGTGTGTCATTGGCAGTTACAAAGATGGGAATGTACAATTAGCTCTTTCGTTACATGAGACACATGGTTCTCCAATTATGGATTGCTCAGTCTTGCAGAGAAGAGCTGTCTTCAGTCCCCTTGTACAGGTGAAACTCCTTGGAAGCCTGTGAGCATTTCTGTTTCAGGATCCAGCTCAGGTGCTCTCCTCTCTTCTGAGTCTTTCAGATAAGTGGGAGTAAAACGCAGTAAAATTGCAGTCATATGCCAGCAGACAAGACTGAACACATACTGATTGCAGACGTGATGAATAAGAAGGTGGTATTTTAATAGTCAATTTTCAGAATATAATGGCTCTTGAGAATAGATTAGCTTAGAACATTTTCTCTATTTAGAAGTGTCACTACTTGGCTGTGCACTTCAGTAAGAGCTGAGCTTTACAGCACCTTGAAGTTAAAGGATTGCCATAGGTTAGAAAGACTGCCAGCGAAGTGGTACCTCAAAAGTAAAACCTGGTGCCACCAGACAGCATAAACGACAGACTATAAATAAAACAGATGCTAGGGTTATCTTTATTCTAAGGTCCTGAAAAGGTCAAGTTGCTGCTGCATTTCCAGAACTTAAGACATGTCAAATTAAGCCAGCTCATAAATGAAAGCATCAGAGCTCAGGTTGCACCTGAGATTCGGAGGTATCTGTGTGTCTGTGTGTGTGTACATTCAAGAGCTGTTAAGTTCAGTAAGTCCACACTGAGAAGTAGGAGAGGCACACAACATTTCAGCCCACAGTTTATATCTAGATTGCTTTGCCTGGCTATGGAAGTTTTCTCCAATGTATGATTTGCAAACCTGGGAGGCAGGGAGCAAGATCAATTCAGAGGGAAGGGGAGAACAGATGCATCTCTGTGGGTAAGTGGCTTTCACTGGGGAGAGAGGAGTCCTGTGCTCACTCAGGAGCCTGTCTGAGGGAGGCTTATGCATCTTATACTGCGACTACATGCCATAATACATGCAAGTTGTCCTCAGAGCAGAGAGTCATTGCATGGAGGGCACTGCCATCACCATCAGCGTCCTTGCTTTAGAAGAGACCATGCCTGGTGCTGTATTTGAACAGAGTAGCACCTGGCTATGAACTCAAGTTTAACACAGGGCCCTGAGAAGGGAGGGATTTCCACCCTCCTCCACCTCTCCCACCAGCTAATCTGGGCAGCTCATTCCTCAAAATGCCAATTCATGTCAATCCTGCAGACAGGTACTGAACTGGGACCACAGGAATGTCCTGCAGTGGCTGGGCACTGCGGTGAAAGCACGGGGCTGAGCGCTGTGGGACTTCTGGGCTTCGCCAGGCACAGCTCAGTGTGCTCTCCAGCACGCCTCTCTTGGAAGCTGTGAACTCCTCAAAACAGGTCAGAAAATAAAAACATTGTATGTTCCACTGCTGAATCTAGTGTAAAGAGACTTCTCTGCTAACACGCTTCTCTGTGCATAGCGGAGTGCATGGCCTGAATTATCACCATGAGATTTTCTGCTTGAATTTGACACATTTATTTTGATGATGAAGAGCGAGACAAATATGACTCCTATCAGTGTCAAAAGGAACTGAAAAGATTTGCTTGCAGTGGTCTGTATCACTTACCATGTGATTATGAGCCCTTTGGTCAGAAATAGCCCTTTAATAATTTGTGCTAGCATTGTGCCTTGTACCCACAAGCTGACAGACCGATGGCACTCCTTTCAGAACACAAATACGAATGCAGTGTACCCACAATTACTTCTCACTGGAAAATGTCACATAATGCATAGTTTCTTCAGCGGCTAAACTTCATTGTATTTACTTTGGTTCCTTACACTGTACTGACACTTCTGAAGATACTCACGCAATGAACTCTCACCATGCTTATTGCCCACTTGGACCACTCACAAGAAGAACTGGGACAATTAATGTCCATTTTAAAAAATGCCAGATGCCAGGGGAGGTCCTGGGAATAATAATGTAATGAAAGAGGACCAAAGACAATGTTTTAAATGAGGTCTTCCCCCTCTTTTGTTATCACTAGTAATCTGGAGAAGCCTCAAAAAAAAAAAGGGGGGGGGAGGGGCACAGGTGTTCACATAATGCTGCGAGCCCTCTACTTCCCTGCAAGACTGGGATCCCAGATATTCTCACTCACAACCAAGACCGTGAAAGTCACAGTAGCTGGCTCAGGCTAGTAATCGCATCAGCAACTGAGAAATGCACTGGCTCTTACCTTGTCAGGGGCCAGTGAGTTTCTCCAGAAGAAGGATAAATCACAATTTAGCATTTTATTGCTGCCCAGAAGGGCAGCAAGTTTCTGAGCTGATACAATAACATGTTTATCAGTCCAAGTAAATGGATATGAATGGATTCCCAAAGCTAGGCAGGTAAGGTCTCGCCAACCTCGGAGCTCAAGTGAAATAAAAGGCAGTGCTCTTCCTTCTTCTTCAGAGACGATTCACCTCTTTTGTGGGTGGGGTCTCCAGTGCCTGTTTTCAGTGCCCTCAGCTTCCTCTGCTTTCCTAGCACCCTGAAGGAAGCAGGAGGCAAACCATGCATCTTCCACTCTCCTGCTATCAAACCCCATCCCAGCTTGTCCCCCTCCACATTTCACCCCCTTCTGCCTCATACCCCACATCCACAGCCATGTGCAGGCCCTGGTAAAAAGTCTCTCTCTACATCTTTTTTCTAAGCACCTTTTACATATTGGAAGGCCGCAATAAGGTCTCCCCATAGCCTTCTCTTCCCCAAGCTAAACAGCCGCAACTCTCTCAGCCCTTATTTACAGGAGAGGTGTTGCTGTCCTCTTCTCATTTTTGTGGCCCTCCTCTAACAGGTCCATGTCTTTCTTGTACTGGGGACCCCAGAGCTGGACGCAGGACTCCAGGTGAGGTCTCACAAGAGTGGAGTAGAGGGGCAGAATCACCTCCCTCGACCTGCTGGCCACGCTGCTTTTGATGCAGCCCAGGATGTGGTTGGCCTTCTGGGCTGCGAGTGCACACTGCCATGTCATGTCCAATTTTTCATCCACTAGTACCCCCAAGTCCTTCTCCACAGGGCTGTGCTCAATCCCTTCATCCCCCACTCTGTATTGATACTGGGGATTGTCCTAACCCAGGTGCAGCACCTTGCACTTGGCCTTGTTGGACTTCATGCGGTTCACACAGACCCCCACTCCTCAAGCCTGTCAAGGTCCCTCTGGATGGCATCCCTTCCCTTTAGTGAATCAACTGCACCACTCAGCTTGGTGTCATCTGCAGACTTGCTGAAGGTGCACTCAATCTGTCAGTCTATGTTGCTAATGAAGATATTAAATAGTATTGGTCCCAGTACAGATCCCTGAGAGACACCACTCATCACTGGTTTCCACCTGGACATTGATCTGTTGACTGTAACTCTTCAGATATGGCCATCCAGCCAATTCCTTATCCATGTAACAGTCCATCCATCAAACCCATGTTTCTCTAATTTAGCATCAAGAATATTGTGGGGGACCCTATGAAAGGCCATAGATCTTACCTTGTCTACTGATGCAGCCACTCCATTGTAGTAGGGGACTAGATTAGCCAGGCAGGATTTGCCCTTGGTGAAGCCATGTTGGCTGTCTCCAATCACCTCCTTGTCTTCCCTATGTTTCAACATGTCTTCTTGGAGGATCTGTTCCATGATCCCCCTGGGCACACAGGTGAGGCTGACTGGTCAGTAATTCCCACGGTCCTCATTTTGACCCTTTTTAAAAATGGATGTAATGTTTCTCCAGTCACCAGGGACTTCATCTGACTGGCATGACCTTTCAAATATGATGGAGAGCAGCTTGACAACTGCATCAGCCAATTCCCTCAAGACCCTGGGATGTGTCTTGTCAGGTCCCATGGATGTGTGTATATTCAGGTTCTTCAGGGGGTCTTGAACCTGATCTTCACTTTCAATGGGAGGGACTTCATTCCCCTAGTCACTGCCTTGAGGTTCAGGGGCTTGAGACATAGGGGAATAGAGATTACTGAAATTACCGAAGAGAGATTATCGAAAACTGAGGCAAATAATTTGTTGAGTACCTCAGCCTTCCCCATGTCGGTTGTCACCAGCTGTCCCGTTTTGTCGGTTGTCACCAGCTCTCCTGTTTTATTTATGAAGGTGGTACATTTTCTTTAATCTTCCTTTTGTGTCCAACATATGTGTAGAAGCCCTTCTTATTCTTCTCATCCTTTGCCAAATTCAGCTCCAACTGTGCCTTAGCTTCCCTGACCCCATCCCTAAGCATCCCTGTGTTCTTCCCAGGATACACGTCCCTGGTTCCACTGCCTGTGGAGCCTCCCCATCCTCAGGTGGAGGACCCCAGCCTGCTCCGGCTGGGGAAGAGCACTGGAAGGATCGCACAGCCAGGCAGCGGCCATGCAGGCATCAGTCTGCATCCAGACTGACGGCCATGGCAGCGGTGAGGGCAACGGGATGGCTCCACGTGCCCCTCCGTCACTATGCATCTGCTGATGGGTGAGACGGGAGGGGGAGGCTGCAGTGCCTGTGTCTCTGCAAGTCAAAAGGGAAAGGCGTTTTCCAGAAAGGTCTCACAAAACTTCTTTCACTGTCTCTATTGAGTCTGTCCCTGAACATGGATTTTGATGAAGAGGCTGCTGCAAGCTAGTCCCTGGAAGCGGAGAGGTTTGGCAAGCTTCTCGGGCTCTCCAAAATAATGCGTTAACTTTTTTATTGATTTGAGAAAGATTTGAGGGAGTTAAATGCATTCCCAGAGCAAATTGAATCCATATTTCTTCACAGATACGTGAGTCAGAGCATCTGAGTGCGCGTTGCCAAATATAGTAATCGTGCCGCATCAAAAGACAGATGCTGGAGCAGAACAGCACACTTCTCAAAGTTTTGTCTTAATTATTCTTCCAGAAAAATTATCAGAAGGACTCTTTTCCACCTCTCTGCGAGGGCGGCTGATGAAGAAATGCTATATAAGTCAGCAGAAGCGGCAGT